TACTACATGTAGTTGAACAAATTTATTTCGAAAAAAACTTAGAATCAAAGTATTACGCGACTCTTCATTAGTAACGATAGAAGACGCTGTTAGTGTAAAGAGCTATTTGCATTCTATTTTTTTGATGTGATATACTTGTATTACATTAAAAAATAAAGTATCACAAGTATTTTTCGTCTGGTAGAGGTACACGTTATTTAAAAACTATGATCAAACACGAATCATACAAAATGACATATTATATTTTGAAAGGAATCATTCATGTATCAATTAATTTGATCAGGTCATCGTCAAAAAAAAAGGAGTACAATGCATATATCAAGTGAATGACTTCGAACTAAAGTTCATTCGAAGGTTCCGGAAATCATTGAACTGAGGAATTAGGATTTATAAGACTTACTTTTGATGAAAAGCAGAAAAAAACATGTCCAATAGATTTATATTTTGAACTATTATAGTACTAACTGTTTCTTAATTTAACAATCGAAAAATCCAATGAGAAATTGCATATAAAATGCATCGATATAGATTATTAATTTAAACTTCTCTTCTAGTAAATCATTACTATGCAAAATAACAATGATGATCAAATTATAAAATGACAATACTGTTTAAATTAATCTATCCAAGTCAAATAATTCTATTATAAGATCTTGTACAATTCAGATACAAGATCATATAGAAACTTACTATATTGATCTTTCATGATCAAACAATATCGTATACAATCTTATACAATTTTATATGTCAATCTTAGAACCACCGTTTCTGATAAAATCATACTGTAAGATTTTTGTATGATCTTAATGTCAAGTCTTATCTAATTCATGAATGATTTTCTAGGACTTCTCACAATGTTGTATGCCTGATTTTCTTCTGTTTTCGGCTACTATCATCTTATTTTCTTCAGGAAGTCTTTTATCTCTACTCAAATATGTATATTTCTTTATGAAGATTACAAAAACAAGATGAAAACACAAATTTGCACTTGAGAAATTAAGCAAAATTATTTTTATTGAATTTAATTATTCAGATGATCTAAAGAAGCAAGTTAAATAAAAGAAATCTACTTTCATTTAATCGAACTGATTAAAGTATCTGTAGATAGATCTTTCAGCTAATCAAACTAACTACATAGATGATTTATTTATTTTCAATTCTAAAAAAGTAGTGTCTAAATTAGAATGTATTTAATCAGTGTAAATATTATTTAAATACACAAAACTATCGTTATCGAAACTATTGATATAAGTAAGATCTTAAAAGCTTTCAATCATTAGACTTTGCCAAAATCTTATAGTCAGATAAATAATATCAGATTGTCAGTAAGATCTTATATGATCTTTTGTATGATTTTTCTATCTAAATGATAAATGATTAGGTAAAAACATCATTGTTGATTAAAGATCGATTTATTCCATAGATGTCAGTAGAATATGAATGGTGTATAAAAGACATTTATTTCGAAGATAAATATATTTAATGTTTATTCTCTAATAACTATAGTAAACTTTTTTTGAAATTAAAATATTAAAAATTTTGAAGGTCTTAATGAAAACCTTTTTTGAGATGTTCATCTAACAATCCATTTTTTACTTTATTCAATCCAACAAAATCCATTCATACATCAATAAACACAATTGCTAGTATTCGATAAATGAATTTTCTTATATGCTTCTGTTTAATTTGCTTTTTTTCATAATTTTATTTCAGATTTCGTTAGATTTTATTTCTAAAAAAATATTCAAAAAAGGGCCTAATAATGTTGATGCCCAAAAAACATCGTACACTCATCTACGAGTATCTAATGAAAGAGGGTGTTGTTGTTGCTGAAAAAGATTTCGGTCTCGATAAACATCCAGCCATTCCAGTGCCAAATATTCATGTTATCAAAGCACTTCAAGTTTGTTCGATTTTTTTATTCATTGCAGACAAAAAGAAAGTAAAAAAAAAAAACTTCTGCTTGATTTTTTTTAGTCGCTTAAATCACGTAATTTGGTTAAAGAACAATTCGCATGGCGCCATTATTATTGGTATTTAAATAATGAAGGCACCAATTTCTTACGTGAATATCTTAATTTACCACCTGAAATTGTACCGGCTACACTCAAACGACCGACAAGACCTGAAGGTGCTAAAACAGCTAAACGAGGTATGAATTTTTTTATTAATCCAATCTATAATCAGATTTAATCGTTCAAAAATATTTTAGTTGAAACAGCTCGACCAACATCACCATCTGATCAAGGTCGACAAGAATATCGTCGTGCTGGATATGACAAACAAGGCGATGTTGGTGCTGGATCTGCTCGACCTGAATTCGTAAGTTTAAGTCTTGTGAAGTAAAAAAGAATCGCATATGCTTGTTTTTGTTTTTTTAGCGTGGAGGTTATGGTCGAGGACGTGGATTTAGAGATAGTAACCGTGGTGGTCCCGGTAACGCTGATCAACAATAAACAAAATAAAATAAACAGAAATTTTGTTATCGTCATTTTTGTTTGTTTTTGTAAGAAAAAACTTCGAAGAAAAAAAGATTCTGTTGATGATAACAGCAAATAATATTCGGCCCGAATAAAAACATATATAAGTTGCCGAAACGTAAATCTCTACATTATTATTTTTCAATCCGAAGTTGAAAAAAAATCTATACAAAAAAAAATAAAATCAGAATTTATCAAACATTGAATGATTTTAGATCAGAATTTGTTAAAGAGATGGCTTCAGCATCGACTAAATTACGTCCGTTGGTAAAAGGAAAAATTCTTAAAAAACGTACAAAAAAATTTGTTCGCCATCAAAGTGATCGTTATGTTCGACTACGTGTATGTTTTTTTTTTCTTTAATCATTTATTAATTTAAAATATTTTAGCCAAACTGGCGTAAACCACGTGGTATTGACAATCGTGTTCGTCGACGTTTTAAGGGTGTTTATTTAATGCCATCAATTGGGTACGGTTCTGATAAACGCACACGTCATATGCGTCCAGATGGTTTCCGTGCATTTCTTGTTAACAATGTTAAGGTAGATTATTTCAAAAAGGAATCAATCATTTTAATAGGTTTTATGTTTAATTAGGAATTGGAAATGTTATTAATGCAGAATCGTAAATTTGCTGCTGAAATAGCTCATACAGTATCAGCACCAAATCGTAAGAAAATTATTGAACGTGCTCAACAATTAGCTATTAAAGTAACTAATCCAAATGCACGTCTACGTGCCGAAGAAAAAGAATAAACAATAATATACAAGGCAAACAACAGCTACGACGAAATATATTATTACAAAAATTATGTAAACACGTTGTTTTTGTGTATTTGCTTTGTTGGTTTCTCTACTATTTGAATAAAAAAAAGATCATTGAGAACCAATATCTTATCATTTTATTTAAAAAGAAAAACGTTTTTTTTCTATTTCGATTAACTTCATTGACTTGAAGAAAAGGGCATTTTTCATTGATTAACATTGCTTCATTTTACTATTGAAAAATATAGTTTAAATGCATATCAAGTTAAAAGAAAAGTAATTCATTCTTTTTTAAATGTTATTTCAAAGCAATGAGCATTGAAAAATACGAGAAGAGTTTTTTAAAATAGGTTTCGTTTTTGATTGAGATATGACAAGTTGTCAAGAATTTATCTGTAGGAAAAGTATAAAGAACAGCAAATAGTATTTAATATGAATAAAAAGTTTTTTGGAATTTACTCAAAGTAAATAATTCTAGATTTAATAAATTCTAGATAAATCGTTTACTAATATCAATCATATGTTCTTCTCTTTTGTTCAACTTAGTTCTTCGTTATATTTAATCGAATACATGGTTAAAATAAAAATTTCATTCTACAACTTAATACCAATGATATTGATGGACATCAAAGTTCATCTCATGGTTATTAATGTTTCTTGTTTGGAGTCGTTATTCTCATTCATAAACGCAACGACGTTTATGTGTTAAAAAGTCTTATGTACATACTATGTAGATATATCTTGGTAGGTAATCGTTGTTGTCACTTACTCAATACAATGTGCAATCATAAATAGAAAAATCTATGATTCATATAAATATTGTTGGAGTATGAATCATATATCGAATGGCGAATGTGATCAACGACAAATTTGCATTGGATGCAATTTTTTTTTACTCTCATAAAGAGTCCTTCTTCTATCTGTTATTTAAACTGACACTTATACTCATACAAAAGGAAAAGAAATACATGTATTATCAGTTTTCGTGCTTTGTTTTTCTGTATATGTATATATTGGTCTATCGATGTATTATAATTGATAGTTTGACAAGAGTTAGATATGAAACGAAAGAACAAAAATAAGTAAGAATAGTATTTTTTTAAAATCTTATAAACGAATATTTTCTTTTGCAATAGATCAATCATTATTTCGAAAAACTCATAGTCATTTTGATGTTTAAGAGTAAAGAATACTTGAGAGACTTTCTGGAAACAATATTTACGAAAATTAATGCTGATGTTAAATGATAAAAGTTTGAATTTCATATGAGGTCATGAATATGATTGGATTTTACGAAAACAAAAAGCAAAAGTCTTTGTTTTGTTTGAACCAAATATTCAAGTAAATTTGATTGAACAATACAAATACATTTATGATTTTATAATTTTTTCGGATGATCTACTTTCAAAACTTGATATGCTTTATTTCGATAGAATTCTATGTTTCAAGAATCAGATTATTGTAAAACAAAAGAATAATAACAAACTTCAATAATCTCATTGGGTCTTTGTATACGACAAATCATTTTATAAACAATATTCATCAGCAATAAAATTATTATTATTATTATTACATTGCTTTTTTTCTTATTAACACATTGAATTTACTTTCTGATTTAGCTTTTTCTTTCAGATAGATAAGTTTAGTTAATTTGTTTTCTTTGAATAAATTATAAAAATGCTTGTAAGTGATAAAAAAACAAATAAGGATAAACTTGATTTTCTTGTTTATTTCTAGGCACCAGAAAATAGTGCAGATACACTTAATAAAGAGGTAGGATTACTTGTTTGAATCATTAAAGACTTATTAAAAGTCTTTTTAACAGCCACATACTGATATGGTGGATCTTAATGATACTAATAATGATATTCGTATTGATATTTCGGATGCACTTAGTGAAAAGGATAAAGTTAAATTTACCGTTCATACAAAAGTAAATTCAAATTTTAATTAATCTTTTCAAAATTTCTATTTAATTACTCTTTAAGACTACATCGCCAATATTTCAAGAATCGGAATTTAATGTTACACGTTTACATGAAGAATTTATTTGGTTACATGATCGATGTAATGAGAATGAAGAATATGCAGGCTTAATTGTAAGTGTTGATTGATTATTTCATTAATTCATTAAGGATATGATTTGAAATTGGTCTTTGGTTTTTTATTTGCTAAACAACTTTTTTAATAATTTAAAATGCAATCGATTGCCTTTTTGCATTAATAATTAAAATTTAGCATTAAAGTACTCCTCTCCTCTTCGAGGCATGGACTCAAAGTTCTCAAATGCTTTTTCTATGAGATATTGGGATCATAATGGCAAAATACGGCCCCTATTCTCAACACCATTTCTCTGAAATGCTATTTTCAATTGAGATGAAAATGTTTTTACAAGCACTAGACATTGTTTGGGGTGGGTATCTTTTTATTGTTTGTCCTTGAATTGAAAAAAGCCAAAATATTGAAAGTAGTCTTAAATAAAGCATACTGTTCTTTTTTAAATAAAGATTTTTTTGTAAGAGTTACCAAGTATTAGTAGAACGATATTTTTTGGAATAAACAACATTTTTCGTCCTAAACAGTGTATAGTATATGTGAAAAAAGTTTCAGCTTGATTGAACATACTGAACCGGAGAAACAGTACAATTTTAGGTAATTTGATTTTTTTAATGTTGAAAGATAATTTTCGAATCCCAACATATAGTCAGTAGATAGATACCACTGCAGACAATATAATAGCTATGAAAAATGAAAAATGACATAATAATAATATCTTGGGTAATGAAAGGGAGGGAGTATGCTAAATTTTTGTCCATGGTGTCGGATAAAATTGATTAAAAGCAATCGATCAGAATGTGTCTTAAATTGACAAATCTTGTTTTATAATTTTGCTTGTCGATGATAAAAGTTTTCCACTATCATACTATTACACTATTTTAGAAGTATAAAATATTGCGTATCTAATATATAAGACTATGTGCGAATGATTACTTCTATTTATAATTNGTTTTGAGGCACTTAACATGTTTAGAATGGTTTGCTTTTTATAAATGTTACTCATTTCCGTGTAGATAATCTTCTACATAAGAATGAGATTGATACATCGATCCGAGATCTCATAAACCGGACAGTAAGTTGGAAACTGTATAAGAGTCTGCAATTTGTCTTTACTTACAAAAATCAAAACTAAATAGGCCATTTTGTAGAGAAATAAATTCTGCATCGAACGGTATGCCTCTCAATATTTTTTCAAAATTTTTTTTGGTTAAAAAATTCAAAATATGATTTTTTACAAGTTTAAAACCCGGTTTTCGATTCTAAAGCCTAACTTTTTTTTACAAAATAAATGTCAAATTCGTAATCAGCGTTAAAAACTGCATCTAGTAACTCATTCAGATTTGTCCAACTCGAAAAAAAAGTTTTTCGAAACTTGATCAGCGAAGTGTCGCGTTACGTGGACAAGCCGATTATCAGTATCGAAAGAAAAAAACGCGTTTCAATAGATGTCTATCACCAGCAAAAAACTGAACAAAAATGAATATATTCCAATTTATTATTTTTTAGTTACTTACGGTTCATTCTGTGTATTATATTATATTTTATTTTTACAAACGAACTTACATATAAACAAAAATGTCTCGTTTTATATCACAGAATCTATTAAAATTTATAATAAGTATATCGCTGTATATTGTCACAAAAGGCGAAATGACGAAACACAATAATAAATTACGATATAATGTAAATCACCGTTGAGCTTAATATAAATCAATATACTTTACAATTTCGTTATTTCACCATTTTCATTTTTTTCCATTGCATTATTAGTAGTTATTGCTACTGAATTTGTAGGAATTACAACTTCATTGGAACCTCTTGATTTCCAATGAATAAAAATAATAATGCAAGCAATACCCGATATGATTCGTGTGAAAAAACCTGATAAAGCCATTGATATACCCATCCGACGATTGTCATATACTTTACATGTTTGTCGTCCATAACAATCTGTAAGCCATACTAAACATGATTGATCAAAAACAAAACCAAATAATAATGGACCGGTTGTTTGACCTAGAACTCGTACAACAGTTTGCCGAAGACCAAGTGCCATACTTTGATATGGAAGTGGTACACTATATAGAAGTACTTGTAGTAGTGGAACTTGAATAAATGCTGTAAAGAAAACAACAAGTGTAGCACCAGTCATTGTCAAAGCAAAGATCAGAGTACCTAAGAAAAATAAAAATATATTTCATTACAGAAAATACTTAAATAATTAATTTTTTTACAAGGTATTCTTCTAAATCGACAAGCTGTTTCAGTTAATCTTACTTCAGGATCACTAGCACAATTACATGATGAATAATAACTACTAGTAGTGTTACTTGACAATATTCCTTGATTGGTACAACCATAATGACATGGTGATAAAAACATTCTACGAGGAGCACTCACAGTGCAAACTATAAGAAAAGATTCGTTATTTCGATAGATATATTACATAATTAAAATCTTACCAGGATGATATACATTTTGACAACAAGCTGTGTTAATTTTTGTACAAGATGAATATTCAAATTTAAGCTCAGGACATGAGAATGTAAGAAATAAAAATAAAAACGATGAAATTGTAAATACTATACCACAGACACGTGCACATCGCATAGGTGTCCAGGAAAATTTATTTAAAAAACAGGCACCAAGTGGACAACCAATAATAACTGAAAGTAATGCAATGGCACCGGTCACTAATGTAGCTGTAGATGTATCTAATTGATGCTGATATTCAAAATATTTTGTAATAAATGGTACAAATCCTACACAGAATTTATTTTGTTTTACAATTAATAGATACTAATATATAAAAAAGAAATATAAGATCTACCTTTGATTAAAATGCCTTCAAATAAGTTTGCAATAATAATACAGATATATCGTGTATTTTTCATCAATTCACCAATGACAGAACACATATGTTTGAAACTCTCAGATATTGTTCGTTTTGGTATTGGAGTAGATGATGAGACAGTTATTGTTGATGATGGTATTGATGATGTCGAATTAGTTGCGCTTAATGGCACTGGTATTGAATCAGTATTTACCATTTGATTATAAACCAAATCCATTGAATATGCATGATTAACAAAACTCTCTGTAGTATTTTTTATGTTTAATGATGAATTTGTTGTTGAATTTTGTTCAAGGGGACTCAATTGACGTAATCTTCTATGTGATAAACGATATTCGTTAACAAGAGGTTTCAATGATGGAAGAGAATTTTCAAATTGAGATTTTGAATTAGAGTTTAATTCAGGTGAATCATGATGTAAAACAGGTGTTGGTGGACATGAACTCAACATTGAAATACTAGTCGCACTATCTTCTCGGACAAATCCAGGATCTAAACGAACCAAAAATAGAATGTTATTGCAAAAATTAACAGAAAAAAAACAAAATTAAATTTTTTACTTGATGAATCGGAAACATTTTGAGCAGGTAAAACGGGATTAGCTGTGTCAGTGTGATGTTTTTTACCAGGTTTTTCATAATTTGGTAACCCAGATACAAACAATCCAATAACAAAACATAATCCACCGTAAATAAAATAAGGCATCCACCAACATCCAATCCAAAGTGGATGACTAGGTGTTAACCAAGACGGAAGCCGTTTTTTAGGGGTCAGTTTTGTATACATTAATAAGAATCGACCTGTAGTTACAATACCAAGAGCACTACCAACAGTACCGACAGCAAAATAAATTCCTTGACAATAAGCTGCCTTTTCACGTGGATATATTCGTTCAATGTAAGCAATACCAATTGTAAATAAAGCTACACTTCCAATACCATTAATAAAATTACCGAAATATAAAAGAAGTTTAGCATTTTCAGATGTACTTGAAGAATGTATTTGTTTTAAACATGATAGGTTTGTTATATTTTTTTCATCAAATGGATCTTTATAACATTGAAAAAGAACATCATCATCTGTTGATAAATATTGTGCAAGTTCAGGATTAATATTAAGTCTTGTATCATGATGAATAAAATTACTCGAAGCAATTAATATATTTCCAATACCAACAATAATCATATTTAATGAAAAAAATATTGGTGACGAATATCGACTACCTAAATAACCAACTAATGGTGATGAAAATACTGTTGCTAAATCATATACTGCTAAAAAAAGACCAGATTGAACACTATTTAAATAGAATACACGTTCAAGTGTTGATATAACTGCATTATTTGCACCATTAACAGAAAAATTTTGAACAAAATTACAAGTACATAATATAATATAAGCAAATAAAGGTTGACTTAATATACCACTAATTCGAAACTTTCTCCATCCATATAATTTATATTTTAAATGTGTATCATCATTATCTAAGGACTTACTTGCTGTGTGTATAACAATTGTTGGCGTCATTTTGAAGTTAAATAATACCAAGTCTAGCTAATCATTTTCTATAAGCAAAAAAAAAAAAAGAAATATATAAAGTATTTCAATCTATCACGTCAATAGGAAAGATGTCTGTTTTTTCCTGTCTAATGATCTAGAATGTTTGTATGATACTGAACATCAAATAACACATGATTAGAGATTGTTATAAGATCAAATGAGCCTTTACATCTAACCTTTTTAGTAATGAAGTAAAAGTAGCAATGCAAAATAAGAAAAAGAACTAAATTGTATACATTAGACAAACATTATTCTTGTCATTACCTTTAAGTGCAAGAAATAAGATTTACAATACATTTTCAATCATACTTATACCTAAGTCCACAAATAGGAACGTAATTTTCAATTTACTTTCTATCTATGTCAATATGTAATCTTGTAAACTATGTTTAATTATCTATTTCTTTTTTTGTTCTGCGCAAAATAATTTTCTTTGCGTCTGCAGAATGAAGAAAAAGCAGAAGCTTTACACAGTAATGAGTATGCTTTTCTCATTTCTTGAATGAGTATCTTTCTTTTACGAACATGTCATCATTATTACTTGTCTCTTCTTCTCGCATTTACATTCTGGATTTGATGATCATTAGAGTACCATGGTGAAATAACAGAAAAAATGAAAATAAGAAAAAGAAAACCTTATAC